GGGGGTTGTAGGGTATGGGGGGGGGTGTAGGGTATGGGGGGGTGTAGGGTATGGGGGGGGGGGGGTTGTAGGGTATGGGGGGGTGTAGGGTATGGGGGGGTGTAGGGTATGGGGGGGGGGATTGTAGGGTATGGGGGGGGTGTAGGGTATGGGGGGGGTTGTAGGGTATGGGGGGGGTTGTAGGGTATGGGGGGGGTTGTAGGGTATGGGGGGGTGTAGGGTATGGGGGGGGGTTGTAGGGTATGGGGGGTGTAGGGTAGGGGGGGTTGTAGGGTATGGGGGGGGTTTGTAAGGTATGGATGGGACGGGGTGTAGGGTATGGGGGGGTTGTAGGGTATGGGGGGGTGTAGGGTAGGGGGGGTTGTAGGGTATGGGGGGGTTGTAGGGTATGGATGGGAGGGGGTGTAGGGTAGGGGGGGTTGTAGGGTATGGGGGGGGGGTTGTAGGGTATGGGGGGGGTTGTAGGGTATGGGGGGGTGTAGGGTATGGGGGGGGGGGGTTGTAGGGTATGGGGGGGTTGTAGGGTATGGGGGGGGGGTTGTAGGGTATGGGGGGGGTGTAGGGTATGGGGGGGTGTAGGGTATGGGGGGGGGGTTGTAGGGTATGGGGGGGTGTAGGGTATGGGGGGGTGTAGGGTATGGGGGGGGGGGGGATTGTAGGGTATGGGGGGGTGTAGGGTATGGGGGGGGGTTGTAGGGTATGGGGGGGGTTGTAGGGTATGGGGGGGGTTGTAGGGTATGGGGGGGTGTAGGGTATGGGGGGGGTTGTAGGGTATGGGGGGTGTAGGGTAGGGGGGGTTGTAGGGTATGGGGGGGGTTTGTAGGGTATGGATGGGACGGGGTGTAGGGTATGGGGGGGTTGTAGGGTATGGGGGGGTGTAGGGTAGGGGGGGTTGTAGGGTATGGGGGGGTTGTAGGGTATGGATGGGAGGGGGTGTAGGGTATGAGGGGGTGTAGGGTAGGGGGGGTTGTAGGGTATGGGGGGGTTGTAGGGTATGGATGGGAGGGGGTTGTAGGGTAGGGGGGGTTGTAGGGTAGGGGGGGTTGTAGGGTATGGGGGGGGGGTGTAGGGTATGGGGGGGGGCACTAACTTGTTCCCACTTTCATGCTTGAATCGACCGATACGGTAATGCAGAGTGCGTGGAGAAAGATACAAAGGAAACGGAGCAAATGATATGACACCACAAATCACATCCTGAGGTGAAGAAGCGTTGATAAAAGAGACGTGGCACTGAAGATTTGGCGCCACGGTGGCGAAATGTTTACTACCTCACCTGGTATACAGGAGGTCGTGGGTTAGATCCCAACCCTGAGCCTGATGGTATATTTGGAATTTGCATGTTCTCTCCGTTGGTCGCGTGGATTTTTCTCCGGGTCCTCAGGTTTTTCCCTCCACATTTAGAAACATATAATTTAGAGTACAGTAGAACCTCTGGTCACGACCATAATTCGTTCCATAACTTTGGTCGCAACCCGATTTGGTCGTGACTCGAACCTAATTTCCCCATTGGGTTGTATGTAAATACGATTAATCCGTTCCAGACTCCTACAAACTGTATATAAATATAGTTGTTTTTATTTTAAAGCACAAAAATTGTTAATTATGCCATAGAATTCACAGTATAATAGTAAACTAAATGTAAAAACATTGAATAACACTGAGAAAACCTTGAACAACAGAGAAAACTAACATTGCCGCGTCAAGGTTTAGAATCATTCAACAAGATGATTGTTTCGTCTGCTACATCAGCCGGTCGATTCTGAGAGAGAGAATATTCGTATGAGCAATTCATGTTTCTATTGAAAGTAAGTTAACAGTAATATTTGGGTACAGTATTGTTTTTGGAAGCATTCACCGTAATATCGTATGAACGTTTACATCACCGCATCATCGTATGAATGATGCGAGAAGAGATTAACGGGTTCTTATGTTGGCGATTTACGTACTCAGGCGCTTTCGCTCTCTAAATTACGGCTTGAATGAGGGGGGAGGGGTATGACTACACTCACAAAATTAATATCTTACTAGGAATTTTATATAACAAAAGTTATATACATAACTGTTACGCTTTGTGTGATTCAACAAAACTTAACTCTGAGTTCTCTCCGAATTTCACGAGTTCACAGCGAATGAGCAAATGAGCGCACGTCTGACCGAGACCGATTACTAAGTGAGACTGACTGAGCAAGCGGCCACACGTGGGTCGATGTTGTTTGTAAACAAACAACAGGAAATTTGGCGCTTACAAAAAAAAGTGGCGTGGAAGGGGAATCAGCCGCGGCCGTGTTTGATCTCCACCCGAGTATGTATTCATGACCAGATTAAACATTTTTGTAAATTTTTTGGTTGGAACCCGATTTGGTCGTGGTCAGAAGCGTTCGTGACCAGAGGTTCTACTGTATTTGGCTGCAATAAATTTCCACGTGAAAAGCCACTTCGTTCAGCTATCCTTTGTGATAGCCAGGTAGCTTCTGAAAAATATATAGCTCAATGAGCCTTATCTGGTAAAATAAAAAAATAGTTTATAGTTTTATGGAACGCACAGACCTCTGGAACATGATTTGGTAAAAAAAGAATGAGAAATCGGTTACCGCAAAAAAACGGCTGGCAATGTCACAGCGAACAGCGTGAAAGCAGAAAACGGATGTTGATGATGAATTCCAGATCGGAGAGCTCCTCTCAAACTGTCACCTTACTCTGTACCTATCCACTGGGGCTGAATTGGACTACCGTAGTACTGACACTGCATGCACGACAAACACTCCATCTGACGCCATGGCGTGGCTCTGCACGTGTGCATTGCGCTCAGCTCGTCTGCATTGAGCGAACTTATAACAACCACTAAACATAGAGTATAGCGAAAGAATCGGCATGAATAACTAGTGCGACGGTGTATAATTAATTCGTTACGAGATGGAGTTTTTGACAAAGCGCGGCGTTGTTGAGTCCTTGTAGCCGTGTGTGTGTTTTGATGAAGTGGGAACAAGGGGCAGTGGGTGGGATGAAAGCGTCCGTCGTGGGATACCGCACGGGAAAGCGGAGCGATCGGTCTCTCTTCGTGTGGACGCCTGTGACGAAGATTTTTGAAAAATTATTGAACTACCAAATGAGCAGTTTCCTGTCCGCCAACAATCTATTACATCTAAAACAATCTGGGTTCCGAAAAAAATACAGCACCACATCTGCTGCATTAGACTCTCTGAATCATATTTACAGTAGCCTTGATAATAAGCAGTACTGCGCCTGTCTTTTTCTTGACTTGTCCAAAGCTTTTGATACAATAGACCACAACATCCTGCTTAGTAAAATAAGTTGCCTCGGTTTTTCCGAAAACACAGTAAAATGGTTAAAAAATTACATCTTTTCTCGCACCCAAATTGTACTCACAGATGGTTGGAGGTCAAACAGTGTTAAGATAACAAAAGGGGTTCCACAGGGTTCCATTCTCGGCTCCCTCTTGTTCTCTCTTTATGTAAATGACTTGGGCACTGAACTGGATTATTCCAGGGTAAATCTTTTTGCAGATGACACGGTACTGATTACTGCTGGCCGCTCTCCAGATGACGTGATTGCTAAGCTCCAGAGTGATTTCAACAAACTACAACATCAGCTAGTTGCTCTTAAACTAGTCCTAAATCCTGCCAAAACCAAGGTGCTATGCTTCTCACCAGGACTAAAGCGGGAAGTTATTTTCCCCCAATTACATTCCTTAAATAATGATCAAATAGAGCAAGTCAAGATCTATAAGTATCTTGGGGTCATCCTGGATTCAAAACTGAATTTTGAAGATCACATTGATTATATTGGGAAAAAGACAAAAATTAAATTTGGTTTTCTATATCGACACAAGCACTGTGTCCCCCCTATGTTCCGTTTGGAATTGATAAAAGCTACCATACTGCCTCTACTTGATTACTGTGACATCGTGTATAAATCAGCCCCAAGTACTGTACTGAAGACGCTTGACTCAATGTATCACTCAGCCTTAAGATTTACATTGAACTGCCCATATAGGACTCACCACTGTGATCTCTACATTGGGTCAAACTTAACATCTCTGAATGTTCGACGGCTTGTGCACCAGATCTTATTTATTTATGATGTACTTGCAAAAAAATCCGCAGATTACCTGCTGGATCTCCTCTCTGTTTCAAAGAACAAATGTGACCTAAGGTCTACACTCATTTACCAGCTTCATATTCCCTATTGCCGTACATATACTGGAGGAAGGGCCTTTGCTATTGATACCCCCAGGGTCTGGAATGCTGTTGCCAATAAATTGAAACTTGAGTCACTACCTATGAGATCTTCACTCAAAACTGCTCTAGAGGAGTTGTACACCCCTAGCTGCCAGTGCTATTCAGTGGCCTAAAATAAAATGTTTCGCTCCGGATGATCGCTACAAAGTATGACCTGTGTTTTGATTTAGTGTGCTGATCTTAAAGGTGCATTGAAAAATTATAATATTCCGATTGATGCTCCTGCTGTTGTGGAGTGACTCATGCAGCCAGCTATGGCTGCCGGGTTTTGGTAGTACATGTTGTTTATGCCATTTACTGTGAAAATTCCGTCACAGTTCCTATGATCACTGTTTCATTGCTTTCATGGCTTTATTTTGGTGATTTCGAAAAGTGTATTGGTTTAGCCATGTTTGTTTGTTGTAGTACAGAGTTAGACTGATGGCCTTAATCTAGGTTGTCTTGTGGTTGTTGTTGGTTGTTCGACTTGCATCCCACTGGGATTTTTGCACACAGCGTTGGTGTACGGTGATTTTTTTTCTGCAATATTTTGCTGTCTTTTCTTGGATTTTCTGTTTGCACTTAGTCACATATTCACTTTAAGATGTTTTTTGTTCATGTTTCTGTTGTTTGTTTGTTGCGGTTGCACCCGATTCAAGAGCCGAATGGCTCACAGGGCTATACCTAATACGTGAACTTGTGACGGGGTGCCAACTGATAGACGAGGCGTCTAACGGGCGTCTCATTCTGCCTCCCGCGTAGTATTCGTGGAGTGCGACTGGGCGCAGGAGATCTGTGTGAAGGACGAGGTGCAAGCGGTGGAGGGAGACGACGTCACTCTGCCTTGCTCCTTGCCGATCGGCAAAGGGAACGTCACCTTCAAGTGGTCGCAGCTCATCGGAAATAACTTGGTTCTGGTAAGTTTTTTCAGCGAATTACCAAATTGGATTGTTTCATTTAAAAAAAATCACAGTTTATCCAGGCTGTTGATGTTTCCACCCAGTCTGCTCATATTTTCCCTCTCATCCTTGGTCTCGCCCCCCTTTCCATCTTCTGCTGATGCTGCCTCTGTCTAGTCACGTGTCATTGATTTGCTCGCCTGTTGACCAGAATCTGTATTACTTGCCTCTGCATCTCACCAACTATCAAGTGAAACGAATTTTCTTTTTTTTAGCTCCCTCAACCTTCATTGAATTCCATCGAGAGCAGGAAAGTCAGCTCCGCAATTGCTGCTCACCACCTGTTTCACTTGGACCGTCAGAGGTTGTTGCAGCCTTCTGTAGCCCTTCGTCTTTACCCAACACGTTTTACAGAGTTTTCGAAAATGGGAACCAATATTTGTATTGCATGGGGTGGTGAGAGACAGGGGAAAGGCAGCTTCCATTCAACAGTTGGTATCCAATTTGCTATGCAGCAGCAGTTACCGTTTGCCACTATGTGAGGGTGACATCACCACAGTGCTTGTGCCAGGCTAGGTGCACTCTGAGGCCATGTGAATTGTCGAAGGCTCGCTGCTATCAGGAGGTCACGGGACAGACCTAGTTGCCATGGTTTGACTGAAATGACTGCCAGATGCACCACCTACTGTACCAGCTTGCTGCATTTTAGCCACCCCACGCTCCACTCATCGTTGTGAGCGTCGCTCCTCTGCCCTCCGCTGTTGTCGGAGGGTGACTGCCTCCAAATGCCCAGCAGCTTCCTTCATGAGCCTCCTCCATAGAGGCCGATCTGGACACCGCTGGTACGCGTCATCGTCAATTCCACTCTGCGCCACAGGCTGCCGTACCGCGTCCGCCTTGTTTCTATGAGCGTACAGGGACATCTGCCCGGCATGGGATCGCATCACATTCAATGAGAGCCCGGGCTGTTTATGGTTAGTGGCACAGAGGGTCTCCCGTTAACTCCGTCTGTAAGACAGTGACATGGTGTTAGGCATTTCAGGTCAGATGTCTTAGCGTTACCAGGATGAGGCTTTTGGTCGGGGCAGCGTTCATCTCGGTAGTACAGAGCAGTGCTTCACAACCAGCGTGCCGGCGCGGCAAAGTGCCATCAGGTGTGCCGCGGTATTTTCAAATTGATCAACGGACACACAGGCATTGAAGTAATAACAAAGATCAAAGACACAAACATCAACGTAAAACAATTAAATAGACAGACACATGGACGTTGATATGAGCACTGTAGACAGACATAGAAATCCAAGTAAAGCCATGAAATAGACAGATGATCACACTGCCATCTTAACAATTACCAATTAAACATCGACAAATATCCCCCATATAGCCTTCAACTGTAGTGGCAAGTGCTGTTAGTGAGCATCTATGAAGGCCAGCACGGCACACGTGCCCTGACCGACACACAAAACACGCAAATCCCCCCTCTTAGTTAATTGGCTGCGCCAGGTACCCTCAAACCCAAACCTCACGCGTCCGCGGTTCTCAATGAGTCACCGCGACGAGGCTCGGCGAACACACGGCGATCGAGGAGGAGGGAGCGACACGTGACGCAATTGTGGAAATTCCACATTTACACAATGGCACCAAGTCCATCCGTAGCGGCGTATCACTTGAGAAAGGGACGTGCACGCACACACATCATCCATGACCAATCCACTGCTGGATGGAGTTGCCGCAGCGATTTTTTGTGTGTGTTTGGTGTGCTGCGAAGATTGAGCAGATTTATGCCGTGGAATTAATAAGGTTGAGAGGACTTGGTAACGAGGACGACCACCTCCCCCTCCTAATCTGTCTTTGGTAGTTTACACCCGAGAGTCGTGGCTGTGGGTGCCGCCAGGCCAAACACAAGTAATTAGGTTCAGTACTTAAGTAAATATAGATTTTTGTAGGCATTGATGGTACCCACAGACGGACTCGGACTGGCAAATTCCCGGTGGGGCTTGTCCATTCTGAGGGACGGTGGGCCGGTCTGTGTGGGGAAATTGCAAATGTGATATTTTATGACCACTGATGTATACGTTTCATTGCTTATTTACGCTCTCAGTTGGCATTAAGGCCCCATATTCGGCAGCCCCAAAGATTCTTCCTAATCGGACCATTTGTTTTTTGTGTCCAATAAGTTCACACGGAAATTTGGGCCACTGTGTTTACAAATACCTGACCCGAATTCTAGTCCCAGTCCATCACTGCCCACAGAGTTCCCACCTCCACCTCCCCTTCAGAGATGGTGTGGCTTAAATCTCTGCACAGGGAAAGGGAGAGCAATGGGGGACTGGCACCCTTGATAAGAGGGCGTGCAGCAGACAACGGGATGGCCTGTGTTTTTTTTACTTCCACAGGGAGAGTGGAGCACAAAGACCCGTTGTTGTAAGCAAGGCAGATCGGGCTGCAGGGGGACGTTCCGGCACAGTGGCAGAGTGGCGGGGAGCACCGCCCACTTGTAAAGCCTGTTCTCCTATAACGCGGCGGTAGTTGCGTTCCTGAAGAACACCGCTTTACATAAACATCGCGCTATCATAAATAAAATGTGATATAGGGTAAAGCACAGTCTGCGATAACACGTGAGATGCGTACACAGGTCGAACAAAGACTGAGGTGTGTAGGTAGCATCTAGAAGCATCCAGCGGCATCCCACTGCCTTGTCTGATGCTACGCCGAAGCTGCCGTACGACCGCTTATTCCTACTCGCGCGATGTATTTCCGTTCACTCCAATGCGTTATGTCCAATTTGCATCGGCGTTATAAAAAGTGCGTTCCCTAATACATTGATCGCGTTTTATGCAATTCGCGTTATGAAAACACCACATCAATATAGAATAACAGACTGTAGAGGCACCAGAGGTGGAAGATCTCGAGAAACGTTCCTCTGCTCGCACCCCGAGAAAGATGCCGAAGAGTCGTGGCTGTGGAGGCTGCCGTGTGAGCTCTAAACATAACAAAAGGCTCAACCAAGGGATAGACTTTTAATCAGCAACTTTGTATATTTATTCACACATGTAAAACAGATTGGAGGGCCTTTGACATTGTAATTTGAACAAGTGGCCCATTGCAAGTGCGAGTTCGCGAAATAAATGTTCACAACTTTGTTGTACCTTGAAATGCCACGCCACTCCAAACGAGACGGCGGATCTCGGGTGCGTGAACGCTGGCGCTTCTCGTTTCAGATTGACGACTCGACTAAGATGAATTCCCCAACCCTGAGAGACGTGGAGAAAGGCAACTGCTCCCACACAATCTTCAACGTCTCCAGGAGCCACAGCCCCATGACTTTCCAAGCCGAGATAACAATAGATTGGAAGAAGCATACGAAGATTTTCACTCTGCATGTGGCTGCAGGTGAATGAGCAGAGGTTGGAAGCGCCACGATGGCTCTTTGCAGTCACTTGTGATGCATTTCATGACCCACGAGGCTCTTGAAACAGAATGCCACTTTGTCATTGTTTTTTTGCTGCCATCTCGGCCCCTGGGCCGCCAGTCCTGCAGCAGGAGAGCTCTCTCCCTGCGGCCAGCGAAGACGCGTTTATCTCGCAGTCTAATCCTGGCTGCACGTGCAGCTGCGTTGAGTTGCTGGTTGCACCACTGCTGCTGCTACTGCTGCTTGTGAGTGGATGTCGGTGCTTGATGCCGTTTGTCGTGTCTCCACAGCCCCGCGGTCGCACACGGACACTGGTGGTGGCAAGGACACCCCTGGAGGGGAGAACTCGCCCACACCATGGACCAGCTCGCCGACATTGACCATCGTGGCAGGAGTCGTCATATTTTCCTCAATTTGTATTGCCATTGCCATTGCCATATGTGTGAAGAAACGTCGCTCGTCTGGGACATCCCTCCACTCACCCAGGTGTGCCCCCTCTAGCCACGCACTAGCAAGAGAAGTTGGGGAAGCGATTTAACGTAAATGTGGTTCAGAGGGTGCTTGGAAGACAGGTTCAGAGTGATCATGTCCGAGGCACCTTTGAGATCACAGGTTCAGTCCCTAGGAATGGGTGTCTCTTTGAGGATTCATAATGGCCATGCTGGAGATATTGAGCAAATGCCGGATACAATCCGAGGTTCAATCCCCGTTAAGTATTGTCACCCCTGTGCCGTGGGCAGGCGCCGCGCAGTTTGTAAACCCTCGTTTGTGTTCCACAGGGCTGACGGGGGTGAAGCTGCACGTGGGGACGCAGAGAATATCGAGATGCTACCGGTGACGAACGGAGTGGCAAACGCTCATCTGGCCGTGGAGACGTCTCCCCTTGTGCGAGTCGGCTTGCTGGCCAAGTTGAGTTCGCTGGTCACGAGACCGATTCAACACCGACCAATGAGGAGCGAGGGCAGACTTCAATGGCGCTGCTGTGGAAAGATGTGAACAACCTCTCCCTGTTATATTTGGAGTTTGAATTTTCTTCCCATGGTTGCGTGGATTTTTCTCCGGGTCCTCCGGTTTCTCCCTCCACATTTAGAAACTTGCGTTTAAGAGTATTTGGCTGCGATACATTTCCACGTGATAAGTCACTTTGTTGAGAAGTAATTTGTGGCCAAGTTACTACAGCAGTCCCTCGGTTAACAGTGACAGTGGTTTACCGTTTTTCAGTTCACGTTTCGCCTCCCATAGGACCCCATGGTTTTGACGAACGTTAACATTGTGACTAACGGTACGTTTACGTTGGGCACGCGGGCGCCAATTTTGGCCAATCCGAGCGCTCGTAAGTGGGGCTGAGCCATACCCTGAGCCAATCAGCGACGCTCACCTATGAGTGTTTAGACGTCAACTGGCTTTGTTTGCATTGCGTTTTCTGTTGTGGCAGTGGAAACAGATCTTGCAGACTCAGTGATTTTTACTTATTTTTAAACTCATATGTGATTGCAATGACCCCTAACGTGAATTCGCTAAAGGAAAAGAGGAGTAGGAAAGTTAAAAAGCTTTAAAACAAAGCAGGAAATTATTAAGGTCAACTTCCGATCAGCTTGGAACAGATGAATGCTTTTAACATGTAATTCCTATATTTGATTAAATTGTTTTGTTTAACAGTCGTTTTCGAGTAACGGATTAAACACGTTAACCCAGGGACTACTGTATAGCTTAGTGGCCTTACCTGGAAAAAATGAAATAGTTTTAAGTTAATTTTCAATTAACATTTAGGAATCATTTGCAGATGTTACATTATTATCGGTAGCAATGCAGCAGTAACATTTCGCAACAGTCACGGTCGTGACATTTTTTTTCACTTTTCTAAAGGGACATCCTTCCAGAACTCGCCTTCTTCACTGGAATAAACTTCCCCGCTACATTAAGCAGTCCCCATCCTTCACCTCCTCATATTCCTCTCTCAAAGCTCACCTCTTTTGTATTGCCCCTTCCACTTCCCACCCCTCGCTCCTCCACTCCTTCCCATCCCTCCCCTGCCCTTTTGTGGCCCCCACGTGACCCTCTGTTGTGGTCACTCTTTGCATGGCCCTAGCACGCCCTTGCCATCTAAATAACTTTATTCTGTTACCGCTTTTTAAACCGTGCAAAGCGCCTTTAACAAAGCCATTCTGTAAATATAAAATAAGGTGATGTGCGGGTCTACCTCGATATACGGGTTTCGTTCTTGAAAACATGAACGTTAGGTGAAAATTCTGCAGCATTTTGAAGCGTATTCTCCCATAATGTCCCATTACATAGCCAAAGATGCGTTCCTAAGAAAAGATGTTCTAACCCAAAACCTAAAATAACGCCACTAAGATATTTTCATGAATAAATATGGAAAATAATAGCGAAGCGCCTTGGGTGAAGGCGCTCTAGAAATAAAAACTAGATTAGACAGGTAACACTGCACGCTGTAGTTCGCTCACCAGTAACTGCGGTGAATGTCGTGTGAGGTGGAGAGGGCTAAGGGGTTGACTAGGAGGGTGAGGGAGGGCCAGGAGGAGCGCACGGACCGTGGTGGAACGCACAGCAGCAGCAGCGGCAGTAGCGGCAGCAGCAGCAGTAGTGTGAACGACGACACGGCCTGTAAACAACGCGGCGGCCAGCCAAACGGCCTGGAACCGCATTTACTTTGGCATTTAGCATTGTTTTCTTCCAACAAAAAAATATATTGTGCAATCAACGTATATCGGGGTGCACCTGGCAAAAAAATGTGAAAGAGGGGAGCCGGTTACATGAAGGTTGAGCCACTGAACTTTTGTGGAAACTGTCCTTGAAGGCAGCGTGGAGCTCTCGCGCCATCCCTCAACATCCTCTTGTTGAGTCAGAACAAGTCTCGGTACGCTGCCACACTTCGCTGCCTGCTAACGCGTGTTCAATAGGAAAGTCTTTCATTTCTTGCTCTAAGTACTTATTGTGAGTGGCACCTTTTAAAGTTGTAACTCAAATCACTTTATAAAAATGTCAAGTAAGCTTGTGATATAGAATTCTATTGTTTGCCCGCACTTTTTGCCACTTTTCTTTAAACCCTCAACGTGTTAAGCTTTAATACCTTGCTTTGCAATGCTGCCATGTTACATGTTGAGATTACGAACTTTCCTCCAGAGTTCACAGCATTACGTCGTCGCTACAATACTAACATTTGCGTGTTCACGTCGACCCTGCCACATCGCAGGGGTTAGGGGCGCAGGCCCCCTGCGATCTGGAAAAACAGCATTAAATGTTTAGGTCCCCTTCGTGAGCAAAGCGAGCACCTCCAGCCGGGGGGTTGGGGGGGGCTGTGTACATATATTTTATGCATTTGAAAAACTCTCAAAACATTCCCATTTACTTTCTTATGCCGACCCCACGATAAATCGAAACCGCGATGGGGAAAGTCGCGATGCAGAAGGGTCGACTGTATATCCTTTATTTAAATTCGTGAAATGGTTGTCCACGTGACCGTTTTATTTATTTGGCTGTCGGGTAGTTGGAGGGTCTTAGGACACATTTGGCTAGGTCATTCTGTGCCCTAATCAAAAGATAAATTATTTACTGATAAATGCAGTGTACATATCAAAAAAATGTCACTTAACTTTTTTAACTGTCGGGTACTTTTTAGCGGCGGAAGTAGTGACGGTTCAAAAGCAATAGCGTTTGTCATGAGCAAGTGAGGAATCCGAATTTAAATTGGAAACAGACTGAAACAGAATGTATTCTGTCCTGGGGTGTACGGGGAGCGTCGTGAAGACGTTCACTCACGGGAATTTCGAATTGCAGGGCTTTAAATGTGAAATTAACAAACTGGACAGACGCGGTTGGTATGCCAAGTATTGAGTATTTTGTCTATGCAGCCATTCGTGACGTCTTGGCTCTTTACGGCATTATTTACCGGCATACGTTGTACAATCGTTTGTTTACTTGAAGCACACCCTCGTGAAGCGATTGTCAAATGCGTAGACTATTTATACGGTCACTGTTTTCTCGGTGAAGTGCTTTCGAGCATGAATTTTTTGTAAACAAATATATTTGGTCTGCGATGCAATCTTTCGAACACGGCCAAATCGCCTGGGGCGGTTTGTTCCATTAGTGGCGATTGCTGCTTCGGCACTAAGGTATCTACATAAAAAAAGACCATGCAATGAGGAGCATCTGCCAATATTTAAATGAGGCCAGTATTTATCCTCGAAAGCCTTAACCGACTGTGCACTGTGATGTTTGGCCGATTCCCTGAAAAGTCTCGTGCCGCCTTCCGCTCGCGACGGCGTTTAATGTGCGACTTGAATTTCTCGACAGTCTGTGCCTCGATAACGCGGTAGTTGCATTCCTGAAGGTCGCCGCGTTATTATCATTGCCGCGTATTCAAAGGGAATTCAGGGGTTAGGGGGAATTAGGTTCCGAAAACGCCAATATCACTGCCATATTTTAATAATTTGTGATATTGCTGTTGATTTGTACGTGTTCTTTTTTAATTACTTTGTTTTAGTTCAATAGTATAATTCATTCATTTAAACATGAAAATTAGTGAAAAATGTATGTTACAATGTTCGTCGCTAAACAATAGTAAACGTAGCCATGGAGGAGGGTGAAGATAGGAGACGATTAACGGTGTGAAGAGACTCGCTTAACAGCTTTTAATGGTAACATATTTTTTTAATTAAAACATTTTTAACCAGAAGAAATTATTCAATGTAATGCCACAAGAAGAAGCTAAGATTGCTTCTTGAGGCGAGTGGTGGAGTGGAAGGAGGAGTAGTGGTGTGCGATGCTACGCCGAGGCCGTCGTACCACCGCTTATCCCTACTATCCAATGGGCACCCGCGTTATGAAAACAGAAATGTGTTCCCTAATGCATTCATCGCGTTGCAGCCAATTCGCGTGACGCAAAACTACGCCGCTGTGGTAGAACGGACTGCAATTTGAAGCAACCACGAGACAAGCGTGAGACAAACGTGAGCACGTTTGGTACGGGGCCCCAACGCGATCAAACAAACCAATTTCGCGAGTTGACTGCCCAATCAATCAAACTTGATGTCTACAGCACTATGCGTGCAAAAACACGCAATACATCGTGCTTTACAGGCATGAACAAAACAAGTGAAATTGTCGACTTGCCCAAGGCCAAGTCCACGTCCCACCAGGGCCGGCTTAAGATGTTGTAAGCCCCTTGACTACAGGGACTGTGAGGCCCCCAGTAATACTTTCAAAAGTTTGAAAGCAAAGTTAAAGAAAAATATAATTTATTTTTACAAGGCTAACAACAAATAAAATAATAACTTTTTACTAAATTTGTGGAGGCCAATGGGCTTGCAGCCCCTAAAGGCCCGTGCCTTGATCCGTCCCTGCGTCCCACGGCCCTCCTGGCCACTCGGGCAGTTGACTCGGACGAAAGGAAGCGGTGTGAGAGGGGGTGGCGTTTCCTCCCCTTCCTCGGCAATGCCCTTTGTAAGATTGCACCGCCGCCACCTGATGCAGTGTTAATGGGAAACAGCCTGGAACTTGACCACCACAACGACTCTTCTTCGTCGTCGGCCTTCGTACGGCTGATGTTGATGTCGAGCAACGACTTCAGGTGGTCAACGATGACTGTTACAAGCAATGGTTGTGCGATGCTCTTCATCTTTTATTCATTGTCGCTTGGTGCCCGCATGTATGTGTGTAATAAAGGACTCGACCACGAAGTCTGGCTTGGTGTCCTTTATTCGGTTCTTCCTCGTAACCCACACGGCTGTCCTTCTATAAGTCTTCCGCACTGATACTGATACTGCTGTTAACCCCGTCACGCCAACAGCTCCTCTGTTGGTCTCCCGTTGTTCTCGTAACCTTCCAGCAGCCTCGCCGCTGTTACCCTCACGCAGCCCCCACTGGCTGCACTCGCTGCAGTTTCTCTTCTCGTCGCTCTCGTAGCCTCTCACACACAGCCTCGCCGGCTGTGTTCACCGCAGCTCCTCAACCGCCCTCTCTCCAGCAGCCACACTGCTGTCTTCTCTCGCAGCTCCGCTGGCTGCTCCCTTAGCTGGCCACCGCTGGCCGCCGGTGCCACTCTTCCTGGCTTCGCCCAACGTGGCCTTACTCTTGTCCAGTCTCTCACTCTCCCCCCTCCTCTTCCGGTCTCATCCCTTAAGAACCTTAACCTTGCTCCCACGTCACCTAACTCCACCTCTCCGTGACGTCACATCCGGGAGGTCGCCCGCGCCCGCATTACATGTGTGTGCATGTTAAACTTGTTTCTCACCGTACGGGGGACGCACAACAAACTAAACATGAAGGGCAGTTCTGCAGAAATGAGTTTTCAATCGAGATGTAAAAGTGCATCGCTCTCGTGGGTTCCTCATATCGGACGGAACAGCGTTCCAGACGGCTGCAAAAGTGCGTCCCTCTCACTCGGGATGGCACTGCCCACGCACAGGTGGGAATCCCACATCCTTCCGGGGAACCACTTGACCAAAGGCAACATGGATCTCATGTTATACACCAATAAGGATGATGATGATGTGTGTCATAGAATGTGTAATACATCATCATCCTTGCGCCTCCGATTAGCACGGTTGGCTACGTACGGTGTGAAAGAAGTTCAACATACCCACGTAATGCTTTTACAGACAGCTTTTTCGTTGTATCGTTGTTTCGATACGTTGCAAGTCAATTAATTTTCTACACGAGCGTGCGAGGCGTGCGTGGTCATCATCACGGTTGAAGTTATGTCTGTGTTTGTATATCTGGATGGCTTCGTGTACAAACCTTTGATGGTAGCCAGGTTTGCAGAGCACCTTGGTCTCGGAAAAAGACTATCATGAGAGCCCACAGCGTTGTAGCAATGATCGGCAACGGCGGAAGACTCAATTTTGCCGTATTTCAGATCTGACTTGTACTCGCGGACACGATCAGAGACATGACGTTTCGTTTCCCCAATGTAACAATCACAACAGATGCAGCTTTCAAGCTGTCAATTCCGGTTCAGTGATTCTGCACTTGCTCTATTGCTATAGTACTATACTGCCTTAAACTTTTATGAACTGGGCGTTTAAGGTTAGCGATTTGAACCTCATGGCGGTACCCCAGGGCACCATAGCACCCCGGCTCTCGCACAATGTCCGTGATGCAGTAATTTTTAGTCTGTTGATGGTCAGCGTTGCGGCAATCGACTCATCTCGACGAGCTGTACAAGATGCACCACTACGGTGCGTACCGCGAGCGTTCAGGGTTTCGGCGCAATCGTCGTCCTCGCTGCGTTTCGACATCGCGGAGTAGCACCGATGTCGGATTGATTGGTAAACCAGTCGCGGAGTGAAGTACACCCCTGGGAAAAAGAGTGTCCCAGAAATAAAGTATTTAATTGCCTCGGCCATTTAGTGTTATTTGGTACCCCAGGGTACCGCCATGAGGATCGTTTTTATCTGGCTGTATAGCAAATGAAAAAATACAATTACTTTACTATGAAAGTAAAAAAAATATTTTTTATATTGAAGGGTTTTTATATTTCGGGCCCCAGTATAACATCATCATGCTACAGGCCCCGCGCTAGCGTCATCCGGCACTGGTCGTGAGTGCAATTTGCTTCGTTTGCACGACTCGCTCCAAAGGGTCGACGAAGGTGCCGGCTTCGTGGCAAAAAAAGTCGAGGGGCGCCACGGTGGCTCGGAGATGTTGACTCCCTCGCCTGGTGTGCAGGTGGCCATGGGTTCGATCCCAGTACTGACGCATGTATGCATGTCTCTCTCCCCGCTGGTCGCGTGAATTTGACTCCGGGTCCTCCGGTTTTTCCCTCCACATTTAGAATCGACGTCACGCGTTTAAGAGTATTTGGCCGCTATACTGCGATACATTTCCACACAAATCACTTCGTTGGGCTATCATCTGTGGCCAGGTCACTTCTGAAAAAGAGCTACTCTAGCTCAGTGGGCCTTAGCTGGTAACATAAAAATCTGTTTCGTTTGTAGTGGGGCCCAGTCTATCCCAACACGGAGACGTGGATAGCAATTTACATTCTCAAGTGAGTGATTAATGCGATTGTAGCGGTCGCCTTGATGGTACCGTGACCAACGTGGTCATTGAGAGCGGTGGTTAAAGTGGGGCGGTGTGTGCAGGTGCCGGCCAGAGGAAACAAGTCTGAAATGAATTGTAGAAATGTTACACTGCTAAACAACTGCCATTGACACCTGACCATCTTTTAAGGGAGATTGAAGTGATTGAGCGTATAAAACTATATATATATATTTTAACGAGATTAACATTTTCATACGGATGATTATGGCCAATGTTAGTTGTTTGGCATCGTTTTTATATAGCAGTCAACTCGTGCAGTCAATTCTGCTCTACATACCTTTTGTGTCCACCGACATTCCCAACCAGCCATGGCGACTGCGAGATGCCTGTCGAGACCAAACAGCCTGCGGGCTCGTGGCAGCTATTGTCGTCTGCAGCTGCAGCAGCAGCATCAGGCAGGGCCCACAGAGCCGTGGGGTTGCCAAGCGGCAGAGCTGTCGGCGTGCAGACTGTGCAGCTGCACTGGGGATGGATGGGGGGGGGGCAACCAGGCTATGGCACTTGCCAATCATCCCAGATGTTGACACTAAAGTTATACGTTCACCTTGTGCAGTGTTTCCGATTGTGTTCCCAAAAGTTATTGTAACTGCAATCTGTAAGATTGTCTGTGTCCCGGGTGCTGCACCACAAAAGCCCGATGTGGTCGCCACTGCTGTACACCGATAACGTTTGAATGTTTTTATTTTAAATTATTTTTTACAATGGCAGAAAAACTACAGGGGTGATAATGGCCACTTTGTCGACTGTTGTACCATGGTGACCAATCACGCGTGCAGCTCACACAACCACATTCTTACAAATAAACTCACAGGGCTGTCACGTATAATAATAATAAAGTATTGGGTGGAGAAGGGGCAATGCCAGAATTGTTGTTTGATGTTTTCGGTTACGAGGCAGAGACTGAAAATGTTGAGGAGTGTGTGGTTTTCATTTGTTTTGACAGCAGGCAAAAAATAAAAATCCAGATGGCTGCAAACGAGTGACCGGGAACCTGTTTTGTGTGTCGTGTCCTGTGTGTGTCATATCCTGTGTGTTACATGAGCCTGGGGTGTGCAGCCAACAGTAGCGTGCTCACAACTCTCACGGGGACCACGGCGTGTCCAATCCAAAGCCACGCACGGTCAGGTTGCAGCAAACACATCGTGACTCCAACAAACCGAACGGTATGGAGCAACGATTTCAGGAGGGCAAGTCGACGGCTGTGTTTTGAGGCACCGACCCAAGCGAACGCATTCGCTTGTTTCGGCAACTCCTCCCAGACGAACACCTTAATGGTGGGGAAAGTGCCACTCCTAAATTCACATTTACGATCGTCGCTCACGGTAGAAATTGAGGTTATTTTGTTAAATATTCAAAGCGCCTTTATTCATGCCAGCACATCCACGTTAAGATCATCACCGTGGCATTCGCGGCCTCAACCGCATCGCGAGCAGTGGGGGACGCAGCCGTCTGCGGTTTGCGTCGTCTCCTGACCAGTTACAAAACATGTCTCTGTACATCACGACTCCTCTCCAGGTGCGGGACGAGGCTCTGCTCGCCTCACACAAGACGCCCACCGAGAGAGAGCAAGACGCTGGCTCGCACATTACGACCGACAGCCAGACTCGCCCCGTACGCACAAGCGAAGTGATTTTCACGTTGGATGAATGCGACTGAAGACGACCGACGCAGGGGTGATGGTGTTCACGCCGATGGCTCGCCACGTAGCGGCTCGCGATGGACGTTGTCGTGATGTCCAGCCCTGAAATCACTCGGCGGCTCGTGATCGCTGCACACAAATACTGCGCCCGCAGCTCAACGTTGCAGACGCGCAGTGTGGGGGTCTCCCTCGGAGCCTCGCCACGAGAGCCGAGGGGCAGCGCCGTTTGCGAGTGTCCATTTGGACTTGGTGTGGTGGCCGGGAAAACATTGGCAGCGTGTTTGTCTCTCAAATCCCAGCTGTTTGTTGACCACGCAAACAGCATCAAGACAGGGCATTGGGACACCAATTGGCAGTAACGGTGATGAGGTGCGTGGCGAGACTCGAACCAGTGTGGCTGGGATAAGTGCAGCGTAGCACGAACCGGCCACCCCAACATAGGTCCATACACGACCGTAGACCCCCTGGCAATCACAATGGCAGATACGGGCAGATACACACAGATAAAAAGCTCCCCCCATTTAGTCTCGTAGGATGTGGCGTTAGCGAGCACCTCCATGTGCCTGCCCAGCACGAGAGGCTGGTTGGAACCAAGCGTTCGCCGAGCTGCTTGGACTTCCCAGAGCGAGTAAACGACGACTCCGCGTAGGATGTGGTGGCAACCTTGGGGAGGAGGCTGTGGTGACCTTGGGGGGGAGGCTCAGACCACTCGGATGCCACTTTCCGAAGGTACAAAGTGCGCGTGTCCACTTGCTGGGATCGTAGCGCAGTACGACAGCCGCTTCATCGCTCCACACACACAACGTACACACAACGTACACACAACGTACACACACAAGGTACACACACGCATCGACACACAAACATGACGCACACACACACAACATACACCTTCCTTTCCTTCCGTGTTCGTCCATCAAAGATTGTTAATGACCATGACATGCTTCATTGGGATGAGTCTGGGGTACGGTGACAGCGCAGATGGCTGAAGAGGCCAACATGAGCCCGGGAAACTCCGTGGCACACTGGACATGATATGTTGGTAGCAGCCTGCTGCTGGGGGACGGGTCTCTTGATACGGGTCTTGTCCTGTTGTCTCCTCACCATGGCGTTTTTGGTTCTGCTGGTTTCAGCGCCATGCCAGATGAGATTTCGCCAGGTCAGACGAATTTTAGCAAGGATTTCCCATGACTTTTGATCTATGTTAAAGCTCTTGAGGGAGGCCTTCAGTGTTTTTGAAGTGTTTCTTTCGGCCCACCGTGTGCTCGCTTCCCATTCTTCAGCTCTCAAAAGAATATCTGCTTCGGGAGAGGAGTGGCAGGCATCCTGGTCACACGGACGGCCCATCCGAGCTGTGTTTTCATCAGGTGTGTGGGAATGCTCGGCATGTCAGCACCTCTGAGGACTTCAGGGTCTGGGATTCTATCCTGCCGCTGATCCTTTGCAGCTTCCTCACACAGTTGAGGTGAAAGTGATCGAGTTTCCTGGAATGGTGGCGTTGGTCTACTGTTCAGGTTTCACAGCCATAAGAGTTGGCAGTATGACTGCCTTGTAAACCTTCAGTTTAGTGGCCAACTTGATGCCTTTCCTTGCCCCACTGAATCTCGCAGAAAGCCGAAGGCTGCACCTAGCCTTGGTAATCCTGATGTGAACAGCACGTGATAGAGCGCTACCAATGTAGGTGAACTTGTCGACAGCTGACAAGTTTCTGATCTTTCACAGATGGTAGGGTCCACATAAGGATTACTGGGGGCAGGTTGGTCTACAACTTCAGTCTTCTTTGTACCGAGTGTGAGGCCGAAGTTGTCACAGGCAGCTGAGAACTGGTCCATGAGGGTCTGCAGGTCGGCATGCGAGCCAGCAGCCAGCGCGCACTCATCTGCAAACAAAAGGTCGCGAAGTCACCTCCTCCACCTTTGTCTTGGCTTGCATCCTCCGCAAGTTGAACAGCGTCCCTCTCAAAGTGGTAGATGAAGCGGATCCCAGTGTGTTCATTTGGGAAGGCATCTAGCAGCATGGCGGTGAACATCATGCTGAAGAGGGCTGGTGCTAGAACACAGCCTTGCTTCACTACATTTGTGACTAAAAACTGTTCAGAGGACCCTTGGTGATCTTGTACACACTAAGCCTTTATGCCATCACGCAACTGTCGCATCATGGTGATACATTTGTCTGGGCATACAAACTTTACTATAATCTTCCAGAGGCACTCGCAGCTGATGGTGTCGAAATCCTTTCTCAAGTCGACAAAGGTGAGGTATAGATCAGAGTTTTGCTCTTGGCATTTTTCTTGGAGTTAGTGGGCTGCAAACACTATGTCAGTGGTTCGATGGCTTTTTATTAAGCCACACAGGCTCTCAGGCAGCCGGCCTTGGTCTTGGTGTTCTGTTAAGACGATTCAGGATTCTTGCAAAGATTTTTCCTGCAATGGACAGCAAGGATAGACCTCTGCGGTTGTCAGGCTTGGCGATTGCCCTTCCTCTTGTACAGGTGGATAATCCACGCATCCTTTAACTCCTAAGGGACAGCTCCTTGTCTCCATAATGACTGGAAGAGGCCGGTAAGCTTCTCAACCAAACGAGGCCCTACCACCTTGTAGACTTCCGCTGATATGGTGTCAGCTCCCGGAGCTTTTCCCGATAACAGGAGACTGATGGCTTTTTTAGTTTCCTCTATAGTGGGTGGATATGCAAGTGACAGGTTAATTTTAACTTGAGGCAGCCTTTTGATCGCGTCTTTATTTATGGATGAAGGCTGATTGAGGACTGAATTAAAGTGTTCGGCCCATCTGCCAAAGATTTTGTCTTTTCTCTGTGAGCAGTGTGGTTCCGTCTGCACACAGGAGAGGTGAGATTCCTGAGGGTTGTCGGCCATAAACTGACTTGAGTGCATCGTAGAAACGCGTTGTGTTGTTGCTGCCGGCATATGATTGTATCTCCTCTACTTTCTGATTGAGCCAAGCATTCTGCATAGGTCTAAGCTAGAGCTGGACAGTTCTGTGGATGTTGAGAAATGCAGTTTTCTTGGACTATGAGCTGCTATCATTCGGGTAGGATTTGTTCAGGCAATGTTTCACATCAAGGAGTGCCTGAATCTCTGTATAATTTTAGTCGAATAAGTCTTGGTGTTTGCGTGTGGTAGCACCGACTGTTTGAAGCGCTGCCGAGTGCCTCCGCATCTTCAGTCAGGCCTTAGGGACTCCAAGCGGTGGTCTCGGGATTCAGCAAAGCACTGCTGGATGCTCTCCTGTTTCAGCTGGGAGATGTTGAGTCACTTAACATTTTGTTTTGCCTTGTGGACTTCTAGGTTTGATCAGGATGTTGAGCTTGGAGATAACGAGTCTGTGGTCTGTCCAGCATTCTGCACCGCACATGGCCTTTGACACTTGGACGTCACGCCTGTCTCTCCTCCTGACGACATAGTCAATCGAGTGCCAATGTTTTGACCGTTGTTGCGTCCCAGTAGCAAAAGGCCATTGCTGTTGCATTTGCCAACACCATGTGCACCCTAATGATCCCATTCCATGACTGATGGTCAGTTCCAACTCTGGCAATGAAGTCGCCGAGAATTAGTTTCTCTTTGCTGGGTACAGCAGCAACTGCAGTCTCCAGGCCAGTGCAAAACTTGTTTTTTTACCTCATCCGTGTTAGTCATGGTTGGCGCATAGGCACTGATGATGGTGACCTGCCTTTTGCCTGGTAGATGGAGCTTCAGGGTCATCAAACGGTCGTTGATACCGCTGAGTAAGCTTGACAGTTGGTTGACAGTTGGTTGACCAGGTTAGATTTTGCTGCAAAACCAACACCAGCAATGCATCTCTCCCCTTCTCCACACCAACTCCCCTGCCAGCTTGCCGGGTCTCACTCAGGGCGGCAACGTGAATGTTGTATCTGGCAAATTCTCTGCCTACAAGAGCTGTGCGTCTCTCAGGTCTGTTTGGTCCAGCCGTGTCCATAAGTGTGCGCACATCCCGAGCGCCAATATTAAGTGGTGTCACTTTGAGGGAGAGTTGCGCAGCTTCAACTTCACTCTCTCGTCCAAACTCATCTGTATCCAGTGGCAAGACTATGTCGAGATGGCTGGAGATGATGCTGGATGCAGTGGACGATCTGAGGAGACCTTCTGATGGTATTTCCCCCACCAAGGGTTCCACAGACCCAACACAGATACCTAGTTTGCCCGATTAGTTCATCGCCGCCTGGGGTTCGGCGTTGGCAGCTGCCGGCAGCACCTACGGTAGCAGCTAGGGTATTCCCAGCAAAGACTGACTGAACACCCAGCTGGCCAGACACACATGACGCACACACACGACGTACACACACACAAGCAAAGTACATACACACAACGTACACACACACACAACGTACACACACACACGACGTACACACACACGACGTACACACACAACGTACACACACACACAACGTACTCACACACACAACGTACACACACACACACAACGTACACACACACACAACATACGCACACTCACTCGAGCACGCAACACACAAGCTCGCCATGGAGGTCAGATGTTCACCTGCAAGTGTCCACCTGGCCCTGGCACTTTAAAGGTCGTCAAAGAGTTATTTTGTTTTGTTTGCGCGTGATTCACCAGCCATATCACTCGCTGTCACACAGCAACCCCAGCCCCAGAATGCAGGCGCATCAAGAAGTCGCGGGGTCACGCCAGGAGGTCAACAGTTCACCAAGACTGAAGAAAAGCAATCATTTTACGTGCCATTTCGTTTATTTTTATTGGCCAATTTGTCTGGATGGGACTATCCAGGGAGAGTCAATGATTGGGCTGGTGCGTGGCGAGGGAGGGGGGGGGCTTGTAGTCATGGAGGGGGGGGGAGGGTAGTGGGTAGAGGGAGGTCACAGACGTTCAAGAGCTGTGGAAGAAAAGAGAAACAAAAGTTGACATACTGCCACCAACAGCTTCGAGCCACAGAATCCCAACGGAGGCGAGGGACTAAAATCCTTCGTTTCAATCCAGTGGGTACCAGTCCACATTGGTCCATGCCGCTCATACCAACAAAACCCGGGCATCATCATCATCATCTCACAGCATTTCCAGTTATAAGTGAGCGAGTCTTAAGAGGAAGCAGAAGCCATAAGCACACAACACACATTGGCAGCCCTACATTGGCTTCCTGTAAGGTTTAGGGTAGATTTTTAAAGTATGCTCATTACTTACTGAGCATTGAGTGGTTGGGACCCTTCAATTTTAAATATTTGAATTCTATAGATCCCTGGACAGCTCCAGTGATCACGGGACGGAGGATTCCTCACCAAGATCCCCTCTAAAAACTAAGCACAGGTGGCCGAGTGTTCGGCTCTCAGGCCCCCGAATTATGGAATCGGCTGTTGCACTTTGTAGAACCCGACTGCACACACTTCTATAACCCATCGATCACATTGTCATGCGCTTAACCTGCATTGTAATGCATTTAAATTGATCTGTGTATTGAATATGTTCATCATTTATATTGCTTTATAATTATCGACTGTTCGTGTTGCTTTATTCATTCCAGCACAAGCGCGTTAATTGTGAAGCGCCTTGTGACAATTTATCTTGAAGGGCGCGATGCCATATAAAGATGTGTTTATTCGTTAATATTTTGGTTTTTAGTTGTGGTCTTACCTAGCATTCGTTCACTCTTATCGGCATCTATTAAAACAGCACGCGCACCTTCAAAGCATGCGTCTACGTCAACAGATCTCTGCGAGGTCACCCCGAGTGACCTCTGCCCTCTCACCTGGGCGGCTGTGGTGGGGGCGGGGGCGGGGGCTGGTAGGGAGGTGGGAGGTCGTCGTGGCTCGCGCTGGCCGGCCGGCTACGGATCTGGCTCCTCAGCTGCTCGATGAGCTCCGGGTTCTCCTGCTGCATCGTCTGCGCGAACTGCTGCCCTCTGTCACGCGGTCACGTTCATGCCGACTTTAGAATCCCAAGTTCTGGGCCAAAGATGATCCAGCACTCAAGATTCACTCCAGTATCACAATTTTAATTTTACTAGGTTAAGGCCCACTGAGCTACGCAGCTCTATTTCAGAAGTGACCTGGCCACAATGGTAGCTCAACGAAGTGGCTTATCACGTGGACATTTATAGCAACCAAATACTCTAAACGTACATTCATTCTAAATGTGGAGGGAAAAACTGGAGGACCCGGAGAAAACTACGTGACCATGGGGGGATAGACATGCAAACTCCAAATATACAGGCGTCACCGTTCGAATCGAACCCACGACCTCCTGTATACCAGGTGAGGTAGTTAACATCTCGCCACCATGGCGTCGCAGTCACTAGCACGCCGACGGTCAGCCACCTCTCCTTATCACTCTTCTATCGCTACTACCATGGTTACGATTTCTGTGAGCTTTACTCATCAATTGTTCCACCCACGCCGATGACTTGGTCTACCACCAGACACTGTTCAACCACCACACTACAGGTCACAACAACACTACCACCCACTCACTCACCCACTCACTCACCCATCCACTCAACTATCCACTCACCACAGTGCAGGTCACAACAACACTACCACCCACTCTCTCACCCACTCACTCACCCATCCACTCAACTATCCACTCACCACACTACAGGTCACAACAACACTACCACCCACTCACTCACCCACTCACTCACCCATCCATTCAACTATCCACTCACCACACTACAGGTCACAACAACACTACCACCCACTCACTCACCCATCCATTCAACTATCCACTCACCACACTACAGGTCACAACAACACTACCACCCACTCACTCACCCACTCACTCACCCATCCATTCAACTATCCACTCACCACAGTGCAGGTCACCTCACTTCTCTTTCTGCATCTCCCCTCCCACTGCTCAACTTTGGAATTCCCTGACATCATCTCAATTTGCAAACTCTTATAATAATCGTGGTCAATTCAACAAAGGTGTTACACTACTATCTATTACGACATTGAGGGTGCTGCTTGTTGCTGGCTGATTGGCGTTTAGAGGCCTGTGCTGAGCAAGTCTAAGTTGAGTCAGGAACTAGCGTTAGGCCGAGTCAGCCTAGGGAAAGTGATGACCGCATCACTTAAGCGCCCGTCCATTATTGAAGGCCGAGGCAGCCGAGGAGAGGCGTGCTTCAGCCGTGGAAGCTGCGCACGTACGCTTGGATTAGGCCGGCCATGTCGTTGATGCCACCGGTTCCCACACCCGGGACGCCTCCAGAGAAGCCTCCTGACATCATCCCCGACATCCTGAGCAACGACAACAACCACCACCGTCACGGATCATCACTCGGTGGTGCAGACTCGAAGACAAAAGATCTAGGGACAGTCTCGTGAGTGAGAGGCTGATTGAAAACTCGATGATTTGGAGTTGCGGGACAAACCCCGGTGTTGCGAGGGGAGTCGTAAAAAGGCTCGAGACCACAGAAACATTCACAGGCTTTGTGGTGAGCTGCCTCGATCGAGCAGAGTGGAGCGATTGGTCACCAATTGAGCCCTGCAGGTTGGTATACTTACAATTGTAAGTACACGTTGTTTACCCAGGAAAGCCTCACCGAGTCTCAAGACTATTTTGCAAGGTAGTTCTGCTAAGTTGTTGCAGCAGGGAATGACTTATTGCTACGCAGGTTCCCATTCCGTAATTTTCACCTACATTTCCAAAATTGGCAATTATGGACCATGACACTGGCACACAATAGCCTACTCTTCTTCTCTGAATGATGTCACAGGATCTTTAACGTTCACTGTGAAAGCGGATGGTGCATTCCGTTTCATGGCTAATACAGCCGCAGCATTAAGGCCAGAATCGAACCGCAAACCTTTGCAGCAAGCGAGAGATAAAAACGGAATGAAATAAAGCAAGACGGACAAAAATTAAAAGAGAGAAATGGAAAGAAGGCAGAGCTATAGAGAGAGAGGGCTCCACGGAGCGACGCGTGGTCACCGACTGTGCGTGTACGTGCACTGCTCACCACGACCTCCCGGTGGCGCTGGAGGTGGCATAGTTCTGATAAGTTCTAAACGTAAAGGAAAACCCAAAAAGTTTGAGACTTTGCTAACGTTTAACAAACGTTTGAACGATTAGCACCTCTACTGGACGTATACTTTACGACCAATTATTGTCCACCACGGAAAGCAAATGGTTTTGTATAATTTTTATGGTTGTGCTGATCGGGACCCAGTGCTCTTTGCCTTAACATCTGGCAATTGCAGCAGCAGTTGTTTCAATGGGCGTGACCTACTGATGAGACCCTGAAGGTCTAAACCAAACCACACTTTACATGCTCAAAGAAATGCCCTCAGAAAACATTGGTCCAGAAGGCCGTCGAGCCGATGGTTAAAAATTACCTTTTATGTTGTCGAGAGACTGACTTCCTGTTAATTTCATATTCAAAATGGACTATCCATCTATTAATTTTAAATGTGTTACCCATTACTCTCTGCCACAATAGGCTGTGTCCATCGCGTGTGTATCGCATGTCCATGCGTGTGTCCATGCGTGTGTCCATGCACATTTGCAAGCGTGCAAGCACACCCGCAGTGCCACTCACATCTGCTGCAATTGTGGATTCTGCATCATGTTGGCCGCCTGCACACACACGCGCGCACACACAGCAGCGATCACCACAATGAGAGACGTCGCCCGCCTTCCCACGCGCTAAACACGGCCCACGAAACGCTGCCGGCACTCGCTGTGGCGCAAAGACGATGCCTCGACCGTTTGGTGGCGCTGCGGCGGTCAACGCTCGGGAACAAACTGGCGCGGGAATGCGTGTAGCTTGGGATGTCGCGCGAGCGACACGCCGCTTGTGTGAACCACGAGGTCGCCGTCACGGCGCCGCCTACCATGGCCATGAATCCCGGGTTGTTGAGGATCCCAGCGAGGTCGAAGCCTCCGGGCGGCGTGGCATTCTGCTGTGACAACGCGCACACAAAATACGCACTCAAAGACGAAGAGAGCCCCGACTGGGCACCCCCCCCGCCAGTGGCGACACCTACAGGGGTACGCGTGCACGCGGTGTATGTTTATGTGTTTCTCTGCACGCGTGTGTGTGAATGTATATAGGTGCATGTGAACGTGCAAAAGCGACACGACGCTTCAGTCACGATGAGTCCAGGGCTGCGATGGCGAACGCCTGCAATCCAGCACCGCAGAGGCAGCGGGGTTGGTGGATCACATTCATGTTGTCAAACTCCCTTCCCGCGTGCCATACCCGGGCTCGCCAGGAGAAAGCGGTACAGCAAATGTTGTCTCCACCTATTCCAATAGTACGGGATCGAGCACCGCCCCTTGCACGCGTGGGTTCTCGCCGGGTGCTCTGGTTTTCTCCCACACAAACACTCAGGAATTGGCTGAAACACCTTCATATATAGAGGACTGTGGAGCTTGGGGGCTGGGTGCGTGGTGAATGTGGCTCCAGCTCACTGCCTGGCTGCTGCCCTGCTTACTCACCTGCGGCTCCTCCGAGTCGTTCTCTCTCTCTTCAAGAGCAAGCGAATAATTACGCAACGTGTTCCAAGTTGAGATTATTATTGCTTAGTGACAAACCCTAGGAGCTCAGAATGTCCTGATCCTCCTTTCCTTTGTGACGGTGAAAGCCCTGCAATCGCTGTGACTGAACGCCGCTTTCCTTGCGTACATTCACTGAGGCGTCAACTTTATGCCAAATATAGAAAGGGAAAACGTATTTGCACAGACGCAGATTCACGAAAGTGAGTACACATATGTAATGACCGAACGTAAGAGACACTCACCCCAAGCCAATGTGCAGCCAAATTGTAATTCAAAAAGTAGGCGAAGGCCTCCTATTGGTGGAAAGAGGCCTCCACGATGATTGGTCGGGAGGCAGGGGTTTGAAGAGGTTGAAGGATTTCAAAGAGGAGAAAGTGGGACACAGAGTTGAGCCCGGAGATGACGGTTGGCAAGCGTTGGGAGGAAAGGGACACGGATTGGCCGCGAACAAACAGACTGAGTGAGGGCAAGTTGGAGAGGGGGGGGGGGGGCTCGAGAAGGCTAGAGGGGAGGGGACGAGCTCCAAGAGGAAGAACGAAGCCCGGGCCTGCCGTTGTTACTGCGTCTACACAAAGAGGCTCACAGTACACAGTCGTCGCGTCATTTCACATGTACAGTAGCGTAGTGTACAGTGTAGTGTGTAGTGTATAGTGTAGTGTGTAGTGTAGTGTATAGTGTAGTGTATAGTAGTGTAGTATAAAATAGTGTAGTGTATAGTAGTGTAGTGCATAGTGGTGTAGTGTATAGTGTAGTGTATAGTAGTGTAGAAGCCTCCTTAGAGCCCAATGTATTCGCTTACCGACCATCCCCCTGTTAACGACGGGTTGTTGTAAGTACAGTAAATATTAATTAATGCATTGATTAACCACATTTCTTTTACCGTTATATGTTTATAATGTTGTTAGTATCTTTGTGTATTAATATCTATTGTTTAAATATAATAAAGTACGTTTTTTTGGTGAAAATTTGAAACTTTTGATGCTATTGGAACGAATTAAGCCTTTGACGTGTATGTCCTATACTCACGTAACGATCAAATCACTTAACAACCGTTTTTGGCGGAACCAATTACCGTCGTTAAGAGGGGTTCTGCTGTATACAAAGGCCAGTGTGCACACATACAAACAAGAATATGTACACACAGTCATACACCATATACACACACGGAGAGAGAAGGCCCACTTCCATCAATGAGGTGTCCACACAGGGCTGTGTCTAATATTGGTGATAATTTATTTTCGCCATCGTTCTTACGGCGCAAGCCTGCGTTTCACAGACACAGGCTGCAGTAGACTCACAGTGGGGGGCGACGTTGCTATGAAGAATCTTGATTCCACAAATTGCGGGTAATGTTCCAAATTCGACAAATTTACAACGTTTTGCCGGTACATAATGGCGTACTCTTTACGAATGACACCACGGGATCCTTTGATCGCCCGCTATGAAGCAGACAATGCGTAGTAGTATCTTTTGCGGTCATACACCCGCCGTAATAACCAGGTTCGGCTGGCCGGATTCAAACCGAGAAACTTTGCAACAAGTGGTGAACGCAAAACAGCTGGGCCGTGTCGCCGCCCCAAATGAGAACCTATTAAGTACAGCAAGTCACAGGGCTGCTGCAGTAGTAGGGCCGGCACTACGTGCGACCACCTTTGTTTCCCCAGTGCTAACATCGATCACACCAGTTGGCCATGAGCGGGAATCTGAACCAATCCTGGTCAACCAAGCCTCCCTCGTGGCGATGTATAAACATGGCCACTAGGAAGACAAAGAGGCCCAGGCATGGTGCTGAACACATACCCCCAAGTGTGTTGTCTTGGCCTTTATAGGTGCTCGTTAACAGCACTTACCCCAACAGTCTGCTGAAGAGTATACAGGGGATCTTTGTCTGTCTTGTGTGCGCATGCATGCTTGTATGTCTTTGTATGTGTGCATGCATGCATATATGTGGATGCATGTGTGTGTAGAGGTGTGTGTGTGTTTGTGTGGAGGTGTGTGTGTGTTTGTGTGGAGGTGTGTGTGTGTTTGTGTGGAGGTGTGTGTGTGTGTGTGTGGAGGAGGCTCGTGAAGGACACTGCTGGGCAGTTGGAGGCAGTCGCCCTCCAGCAACAACGAAGGGCAGAGGAGCGACGCTCACAACAACGAGTGGGGGTACTTCTGGTGCATCTACCAGTCATCTCAGTCAGCCAACCCATGGCACCTGGGTCTGTCCCGAGCACTGGCGGAGCCAGTGGGGGGGGGTTGGTACGTGCCCCCCCAATGATCCGATCAAAATCCCTAATTTCGATCGGATCATTGGGGTTTATTTGTAATAAATCGGCATTTTGCGATCCCCACTGCCACTGTGTGGCATATTATTACGTCCCAGGGCCTCTATGAGATGATAGGACAATAGTCTGAGTCCATAATTGGCAATAAGTAACGGCAAAGCAGTTATAAGTACACGACTTCCCTAAAGGCATTCACCTTCAGCGAGCGCGATGCCGATCACACACGGTTCGAATTCGACCCTCGATCGATGGCTGCGCCATCGATTAAAGAGCAAGGGACTTACTAACAACTCCTATAATTTTTCATTGCTGGAGGGGTTGCCCCCCCTACCTGAAAATCCCGGCTCCGCCATTGGTTCCGAGACCTCCTGTCAGCGAGCCTTCGACACTTCACGTGGCCTCAAAGTGCACCTGGTCTGGCACAGGCGCCGTGGTGATGTCACCATCACTTAGTGGCAAATAGCGGGTATTGGTGTGTGGAGGTGCGTGTTTGTGTGTGGGTGTGGAAGTGTCTGTGGAGGTGCGTGCGTGTGTGGAGGTGCGTGCGTGTGTGGAGGTGCGTGTGTGCTCGCAAACAGCACTTGCCCCTACAGTCTGTTAAGTCTATACGGGGGATCTTTTTCTTTTTGTGTGGAGGTGTGTACGTGTGTGTGGAGGTGTGTGTGCGTGAGGTGCACGTATGTGGTGTGTGTGTGGTGTGTGGAGGAGTTTGTGTCCGTGGAGGTGCGTGCATGGCACGTGTGTGTGTGGAAATGCGTGTGAGGTGGTGCGTGTGTGGAGGTGCGTGTGTGGAGGTGCGTGCATGGCACGTGTGTGTGTGTAAGTGTGTGTGTGGAAGTGCGTGTGTGGAGGTGCGTATGTGTGTGGAAGTGCGTGTCTGTGTGTAGGTGCATGTCTGGGTGTAGGTGCGTGCGTGCGCACCGGGCTCGTGGCCTCCCTCCCTCTGCTTTCGGCGAGCTCCAGGTTGCCTCGGTAACCCTCGTTGTCCGGATCGAGCTCAACGGCTCGACGGTAAAACTCCACCGCCTCCTCGTGCTTCCCCAGGGAGGTGAGCGCGAGCCTGCGCGGCACGCACACGGCCAGGCGCCGACAATCATCGTCACAGCAGCGCCGCCGCACAAACCACCGCCACGCAGCACCGCGCAGCAATGCCAACGACCACTGGTCAGGGGCCACAGGGCTTTCCTGCTCTCATTGGTTATCTCTCGTTCACAGCCTTGAGAGTCAGGGGTGGAAATTGCGCATTGCTGTGGCGGGGGGGGGGGGGCGAGTCTATTCACTGAACAAAAAAACTGCAGCCAACTTCCTCAGATTGTGGTACTAATTTTATTGACCCCGGTGGCATGATGGGCTGAGACGACACCCCAACTAGGATTTAAACTCTCAAACTTCCAATTGCGAGCTGTGAGCTCCACCGCTGAGCCAGCTGGCTGGTTATTTACCACTTGCCGACCAACTGACTTGGGTTTTGCTCGCTTTGTCTTTGTACCGATTGTGCTCTAATGGCACTAATGGCACCTTGTCATCAGTATCACATGGCAGCGCACCGCTGGGCATTAGGTAAGGCCCGTGACAGACGGTATCACAGAACTGCTCGCTGCTGGGACACAGCCATTAAAACACAAAATCATTCACACATTTACTATTCGTATGATTATTGCGAGCGTACAGCTACCACGAAGGAAGGCGCTGTGTTTTACAGACGGGTAGAGCCTGCAGTGGTTTCGCAGTAGGGGGCGGTGACATGGCTCAGCGGGAGTTCAGCACGGCCCGCGCGTGCGGACGCGTGCAGCGTGTGTGTGCACGTGTGCCCGCACGGCACAGTGCTGCTCACCCCATGCGCCCGTAGGCCTTGCTGTAGTTGGGGTCGATAACGATGGCGCGCTCGCAGTCCTGCACCGCGCCCACGTAGTTGCTCAGTTTGCTGTAGGCGGCCGCCCTGCTCCGCCGCGCGTCCCGGGGTCGTGGCGGAGGGGAGAGCAAAGCGGGGGGGGGGGGGGGTCCGATGGCACAGGCGAGGGAACGGACGCGCGTGTGAGCGCAATGCGTGATGCGTGCGGGCGCAGCAGTGTGATCGTACCACAGGTGTGTGTATTTGCAAGTCAGTGTGGGAAAGCTGCGAGGCCCAGGCTATTGTGAGCTCGCCACCGCATCAACGGGAGGCTTATGCCCCCAATGAAGGTGAAGATCGGTGGGGGGATGGAGGCAAGGCTGATAAGTCAGATGGATTCTATGACCTCTTGTCACAGGTGCTGGCAATAGTGTTCCCTTGAGATAGAGTAATCCTGTTGAGTGACTTTAATGCCCGAGTGGGTATGATGTAGGCCGGAGTGATTGGAAGGCATGGGCCAGATCAGCTCAATAATATTGGTAGGAGGCTGCTAGTCGTCTGTGCAGCCCATGGGCTTGTAATCACCAACATGTTGTTTCCAGAATCGGTGCATCCACACAACATCATGGATGCACGATGGGTCCAATGCAAGAACATCTAAGTAAGCAACAACATATTCTTTGGGTCTTTCGGTAAAGTCACGTATATAGGTTCAAAGATCACAAAAAACTCCAACGCTTCGATCACAACACAAGCGAACGTCATCAGGAGGCAAACTTGCAAATACCGTCTGACTCAGCAGCTTTCCCCCTCTTTTTTCCTCCTGATGACGACCGCTTGTGTTGTGATCGAAGCGTCGTAGTTTTTTGTGATTTTCTTTGAACCTATATACGTGACTTTTTTACCGAAAGACCCAAATAATATGAATTCCTGCAGTCACGAAAGCTTTAGGTCAAGATTTAAGTCAGAACAATACGAATGTGCATTGATGACACGTTGAAGGCGGCTCTCTGAAACAACTGTTGCGGAACTGGCTCAGACTCTGACCCCGAAACTGCACTGGCCATATCGCAAGAGGTTTACACGCGGGCATAGCAGGACGCCGCGAACCGCGGATCGTGTCGATTTGGGTCTGTTCAAGCTGGTACGCACTGATCGGCGAGATAGGACGAAGCAGACTGATGGAGAGACTCTTGAAGATGAGTCGGCATACTTTATATGCAATCCTTTACTTAATAGGTAGCCAGTAAAGCTCATCACGTATCAAACTCGTGGTCGGATCAAATTTCTGTTTCCTCACTATCAGGCGAGCTGCGGCATTTAACACGGACTGGAGTGGCCGTAGGTGAACAGCGCTGGCACAGCCGAAGAAGCTGTTGCAGTAGCCCACGCGGCTGATGGTGAATGCCTGGACGGGCATCCTCAAAGTCTCCACAGTTAAGAGTACGACGGACTGTGCGCAGTTGTCGAAGCTGGTAGAAGCACTGTCCAGCCAGGCACCTGATGTGAGTACAGTGACGGGAGCGGAAAATGCGGGTCCCATGTCCTTGACAACAGGACCTACCGTGGAGCTGATCTGCCCACTTCATGATGGTGAGCAGGCCCGGGTAAAGCTGCGCGTATGGGAGTCAAGGGCAAATTTCTGTTCACCTTGGAGTGCGACAGGGATGTCCTTTGGCCCACATAGTTTTAAACATCTTCTTTGACCACGTAATTCGAGACACTTTCCATAGCTGTAGTGGAAGAATTTCCATCTGCTACAAATACAATGGGAGACTGATTGATACTCAGGTTCTCCCTATTGGTCAACGATGTTGATGATCTGGCAATTGCTGCTCACTCTGAGAAGAAGTTGGAGACGCGACTGCTGAACCCGAGCATGATACTAATAGATGGGGCCTTATCATCAATCACGCAAAAACAAAGCACCTGCCTGGGTATTTTATGTTATAAAATACTCAACCACCTCTGATCTACATGAATAATGGGCCAGTTGTGGAGAGAGTGGAAACGTTTCTGTACCTGGGCAGTGTGCTTATGACCAGCTCCAGTTTGGAAGCGGAGGTCTCACACGGAATCAGTCGAGCTGCAGTGTCATTTCATCAGCTGCACAATGTTGTGGAAACTACCTGGCTTATCGCTCCATACGAAGCTCAGGGTCTTCTCAGTCATGGTTATGCCCTCCCTTATTTACGCTTGCACATTGTGGAGCCCTTTAAAGGAACATGTGTCATTTTTAAACATTCAGACTGGCCTTCCCCTATGATCCATTCTGCCCTTCTGTGAGGAGCTCACAGATCTTTGAAAGATCTGTGAGGAGCTCACAGATCTTTGAAATATCTGTGAGGAGCTCACAGATCTTTGAAAGATCTGGACACAGTGCCATCAGTGATTTCCGATGGTAGGCAAGGCTGCGCTGGCTGGGCCATGTAGCGGGAATGTCCAGAAGGGGCTAAATGAGCACGGCACGGGCTAGAGAAGATGGGCTGATGCGGTACAGAAGAATGTGGGGATGATTGGATTAACCAATGACTGGTACAAGCAGAGTCAAGATTGGTCACTATGGAGGAGGCTCGTGAAGGACGCTACTGGGCAGTTAAAGGAAGTTGCCTTCCAGCAACAATGGAGGGCAGAGGAGCGACACGCACAGCAATGAGCGGAGCGCTTGGCGGCTAAAACGCAGCAAGTTGGCTAATTGGGGAGCACAAGTGGTGCATCTGCCAGTCATTTCAGTCAGTCAACCCATGGCACCTGGGTCTGTCCGTGACCTCCTGCTAGGAGCCTTCGACACTTCACAAGGCATCAGGGTGCACCTAGTCAGGCGCAAGCGCCATGGTGACGTCACCACCACTTGGTGGCGAACGGCGGTAGTTGTTGTTGCTGTTGTAGCTGCGTGTGTAGTTCTGTGTAACTGTGTGTTTAGTTCACCGGTTGCAGAAGTAGACGGCGTTCTGCTGGTGCAGCTCGATGGCGTGTGTGTAGCACTCCACAGCCTCGGAATAGCGCTCCTCGCGCATGTACTGGTTCCCTGCACAAGGCACAGAACGGCATGACGTCACGACGCATTCACATGCACGGCCGTCACTTAATACTGCGTATTTACTACCCAAAAGTCCGCTTCATAGTGGACGTTAAAGTTCCCTTTGACGTTATCCGACAAAGAGTCGGCAACATGTGCTGGTGTCACGGTTAAAATTTGCCAAATTAAATAAAGCGACTTTCAAAGTGTTAAAGCGGTAAAACCACACAGCAACACGGCAGACGGCATCCCCCTGTGAAACACAGCGCATTTAGGATAGCGCTACACTAAAAGAAAGGTGAGAGCACCACAGGTACTCAATTAAAAAACTACTAACTTTTTATTTTACCAGGTAAGGCCCACTGAGCTATTTTTCAGAAGCGACCTGGTCACAAATGATAGCTCAACGAAGTGGCTTAGCATGTGGACATTTATAGCAGCCAAATACTCTAAAACGCGTGATGTTGATTCTAAATGTGGAGGGAAAAAACCGGAGGACCCAGAGAAAAATCCACGGGGAGACACGCAAACTCCAAACATACAGCAGCAGGCGTAAGGATCGAGATCGAACCCACGACCTCCTGCATACCAGGCGAGGCAGTTAACATCTCTCCACCGTAGCGCCCCAAATTACATGTATAATTATCAATGAGCGAAAACAAGAGCATTAAGGCAACGCTACATATTGCTGGTAAAGATTGCGAAAGTGAATATTAATGCTTCATAGTGACTTCAACAAGTCCTAGTGGCGTGTTGTGAGCGGTCACCCTCGTTCTTGTATTTGTCAGCGCGAGTTCTATCTTCTTCTGACACCGTGCAGTCCGGGAGGGCCTTCTCTTGACTGAGGGGTGGATTTGATGCCTGAGCCGGTGGGGGAGGGGGGCGAGGGTGGGGGGAGCCGAAGGTCAAAGAGCGGAACTCACGGCATGAACACGCAGCCAACACACCGGCGATTGCCACTTGGCTTCAGCAGCAATAATGGCAAAAAGGATCTCCGCTTTGTAAACGTGGCCTTCGCCGACAACGTGGGCTGTTTTCTGCATCCAGGACCCGTCAAATAAATCGTAGTCAATCCCCTCAAGTAACAAGATGACAACGGGGAGACAATGCAATGTATAAGGCGCAGGACATTTCACAGAGATAAATGACTGTGATTGAGACGTGGAGCCAAGTTTAGTGTCACTCAAACGTCGGGTGAACGAGGCGAGGCCTATTAGTATGGACGTAACATTAAGCAAATACTTTTAATGTACGACTCTTTAGGCCTCGCCTCCTCCGTCTTTATGCCCCACCCCTTACTCATTAGGCCCCACCCCTTCCTCTTTCAGCTCCGCCCCTTTCCTTTATGGGACTTGCCCCCTTCTTCATCATCAGGCCACGAGGTTGGGCTGGTTTGGGTAGTGGCGAGGGCTTGTTGATGACGTTGGGGGGTTTTTAAGCTTCAGATGGAGTGATAGGGCCAGGTAGTTTCCACAGCATTATGCAGCCGATGAAAAGACACTGCTCCAGCGAGACCTCCGCTGCCAAACTGGAGCTGGTCATAAGTATGCTCCCCAGGTACAAAAACTTTCCACTCTCTGCACAGCTGCCCCATTATTCATGTAAAGTGGAGGTGGTTGAGTATTTTATAACATAAAAAATACCCAGGCAGGTGCACCCCAACGTGAACATTAAATTGCTCCGACTCCCATCCACGCAGCTTTACCTGGGGCCCACCCACCATCATGAAGGTCTTTAATGATTGCAGGAAGAGGACCAATGACCCTGAAAGTACAAAGAGCCCCGAGTCCTGGCCTATTGATGATATCATAGGCCTTGACCAGGGGTGGGCGGGGGACAGCAGGGGTGCTGGGGCGGCTTCGCGATGACCACCAAAATCCCTCTTAGGGAAATGATAATAGATTGAGTGAGGTGGGGGGGGGGGGGGAAGCCAGGTTGCCCTGAGAAAACCCAACACATCCGCCGGGATAGCGGCTCACTCATCTGCACAGATGAGCCACCAGCAAATAGACACGGAGCAATCCACGAGAAGAGCGAGCCAATGCATTGTCACCATTCAGGGGTCATAATTCAATTCAAAAAAAAAATTTGTCGATTAAATTTCAAATACTTTATGATAAGATCCAACATCAACAATTAAATTCAAATATTGTGGGCACAGGAATCAATTTTAATCACTTAGTCGATGTGATGTCACAGCTTTCATTGGAATGCTACTTTCAGTGTCACCTCGTTGGGCACCAGATGTGTGCTCAGCAGGCGGGTGGGTGGTTGTCTCACTGCTCACTGCACACGAAAGCTCCCTGGGGAGGCTGTGGGGGACTCACGGGCTCGTCTTGCGTCGCCTCCACGAAGATGTCGAGCAGCGGTCGCGACACGGCGAGGTGCGAGTCCGCCGCAGTCACCCCAAACGCCGTCTCCAGGCACTGCGTCGCAACTACCGACGTGGACGCACGGGGAGACAGGGAGATGCACGGTGACGCACGGTGACGCACGGTGACGCACGGAGATGCACGCAGAGACAGTTAGACGCATGGAGACGCAACGGGACACGCGGGGACACAGGGAGACAGGTACACGCACGATGATGCACGGGGACACATGGAGAGACAGGGAGACGCCCCTGATGCATGAGGACGCACAGGATCGAAGGGACTCACGGGCAGACAGGTCGACGCACGGTGACACATGGGGACACACAGTGACGCAAGGGGATGCACAGGGAAAATACCAGACGTAAAGAGAAGTACAGGAAAGCAAATATTGGTATGGGGATGCATGAGGAGACAGGAACACAAAGAGACCCAGAGACACATGGCGATGCACAGAGACATGGGGACAAAGATCCCCCTAATAGCCGATAATAGACTGTTAGGGAAAGTGCTGTTAGTGAGCAACTATGAGGACCGGCACGGGACACGAGGGAGTGGGCAGCACAACGCCCGGCCGCCTTTGTCTCCCCAGTGGCAATGTTTACACTCGACCTCAGGGAGGCCCAGGACCGGTTCAGATAATCATCACTGGAGTTGGCCGTGAGCGGGAATCGAACTTGGGTCGCTGTGTTCATAGCGCAGCGCGCTAACCGCTACACGGACAACACATGGCAACGTACAGGTATGCATGTGAGCACAAGCAAAGCACAGCACTGGAGAGACTGGGAGGGCAAATCCTGCTCACGAGTGTTGGCAGGGTTGTGTGAAATCACGCGGGGAACAGCAACACACGTTCCACATTCGTATATATCCCAATGACTGGCATTTGCTGACCGTGCAGCACAGCTCAAAAATGTCGGCTGAGCTAACCTAGGGGAGGCAAGCACCAACTGCTTATCCAGAGTTAATAAGTAATTGTTGTTGAACCTCACGAGAAGCCTTTACCGAGAGGGGCCTGGTCACATCAGGCTGCATCATCTCCGAGCACCGCCACCGCTACGACCGCCACCAACACCGTCATCAACGCCATCACTGCCACCACCACCACCACCACGTACCTTCCAGACTCTCGGTGGCGTCCTCCGACAGCGTCCCCGCGCGCAGCTGCTCGTTCAGGAAGCCCAGCACAGCCACCGCCAGGCGCTGCACGTCCGACATGGCGCCCCGTGTGTGTGCGTCCGTCTGTCTCGTCCCGTCCTGTGTATCCGCGTACCAAGCCTAGTGGAGAAAAACGCGGCCCACGTTACTCCCTCGCTGGAAACCCAAGGCATTCGTTAACAACGCCGTAGCCTTAAGGGGGAAAAAAAAAATGGAAAATAATATATAATAGGTGACGTTTGGGGCAATGGCTCTTCTTCATGCACACCGATCACATCGAATCTCCATGTCACACACCCCAAATGTAACGAAATACGCCCGACAAAATCCAGCATCGTTGATGTTGGCGCATTCTTCAGGCACGACAGAGCCAGCACCAGAACAATAATGGTTTCCTAAAATATTTCATCTGGATAATCCTTTGGCATGAAGCATCTCGTTTGCTAGGGTGCCAAGGGTGTCAAGTGACACACAGCAAACATGCCATGATGTGTATATAAACATTTCTACTTGTATGCATGTTGAACTGATTTCACACCGTACGTAGCCAACCATGATAATCGGAGGTGCGGGGGAAGGACAAAAATTAAAACCCGGTCTTAGCAGTGCAAAATCTTCAGACTCTTCGTCAGGAGTGAACACATACACACCCAGCTCCCCCTCTGTCACTGAGGAGCAACCACCCTTTGCGAAGAACAAAAGCTATAGAACCAAATCTTCCCTTGTAGATAAGAGTGACGTGAGTTTAAAGCCAGATCGGTTTCTAAATGTTTTAAGGAATTGGGAGACATGCTGTAACATATCAGTGTAAAGTGAATCGTGTTGAATCTGCTATCCGGATGACATCACTGGAGCACACGTGAATGGAGATTTAATGATTTTGTGCAAATCTTCAAACTCATGGCAGACAGCTTGGGGCAAGCGACATACACAACTTCCACGTAACCACAAATCTCCCTCTCGCACATTTGAAGGATTATCACTAATTCCAGGGGTAGAATTTGATTCAAGACTCGGGGTCTTTTTCGGCTGTCTCGTATGTAGTGTTGTTTGCCTAAAGGCAACATTTAGCATTCATTGTGTATATAGGTAAACAATTCATTATAACACACGATTCAATACATGCATCATGCGATAAGCAATAGATTTTAGCGGATGAACAAACGCATCAAATACTTGCCTTCTAATTATACATTTACAACATAAGAGCAATACACCTTTGCGTTGCGTCTTCCTGTAAGGTGATCGCTTAATAAAGTCCAAGTGTGCCCATAGCCGAGGGTTCTGCATTGCGAGGCCCGCGGGCCACTGGGTGTCCCTGGTGGCCTTTAGTGCGGCCCCTGACGTGCGGCCTCCGACAATGCACAAAAGTGAAAACACCCCCATTATCGTGCTGCTGTTAAACCAAATGGTTTCAAATGTGTGGCAGCCCTCACACTGATGATGTCTTATCGGCGAAAATGGCCCCCTCTGAAAATTAGTGAAGAACACTGCCACAGCACAATAAGCATTTGGCAGCACTCATCTTCAGTGGCGGTCCTAAGCCGGAGGTGGAAATTCCACTTACTTACTGTGGCCAGGAGCAGTCTCTCCATTCAACCTCCACTGCCGGCATTATCATTCATAACAATAACGTTTTGTTTTATATATAGCGTCATCGTTCATGCAAATTGCATCTCGCGATTAAGCTGGAACTCAAACAGGCAGTGAGCCAGCACCACCAAAAGTTGCTTAGGCTCTGCAGTCCTGTATATATATTAACCCTTTCCCATTCCGATGACGTATGTGTACTTCAGTTTTTCTTCCAGTTCCGTTACGATAACATAAAAGTACGTCATAAAATAACTTTATCGATACCAAGGCACCCACAAGGTCATGCGGGAGGGAGCGTGGTCCAGTTTGGCACCACCTATCATAGAGTGCGGTCGTGTCGCTGCACTTCTCTGCGGTGAGTACAATGTCTTTAAAAACAGCGGCGCTATGCCTATCTAAATAAAATTAATGCTAACCGCTTGCCCGTCCCGAGATTCAGCGGTGTACAGGACACCCACCCTGCAACTTGCAGACGTCTCGGAACGGGAAAGGGTGAAGAGGTTTTCAGCCAATCAATGGGTGTTTATACATATCGGAGGAAACCGGAGCACCCGGAGAGGATCCACGTATGCCAGTGGACAACATTCAATCCCATACAAAAGGGACAGAAAATGTTCGTCCACACTTTGCTGTACCGACTTATCTTGGTGAGCCAGGGTATGGCACCTCAACATCCACAGGAAAGGAGTTTTAGATTCGTGTGATCCACCGACCCTCGCTGCCTCCAGTGATGGATTATTGGCGTGCGTAGCCACCACCGCCTGGCCAATACGAGTTAACATGAGTTTGTAATATTTGTGTGTATCTCTGTGTGCAAGCTATACTCCCAGCAATAAATTGGCAAATGTTGACAGCCGTGGTCTCCTTGGAATCAGAATGGTTGTTGGAAGTGGGTCGTGGAGCTTGGAATTTTCGTTAAATAAAAATGAAGCGACGTTGAATTGGTCCGTTACTGAAAATGGGATTCCTACACTCATGATATATTAATCGAAATGTGCATGCGAGAATCAATTATTTACAATGTGTGCCAATGACATGCAAATGATATGCTAATAGTATGCATAGGCTAATGGGGACAACACAACTGTGCGCTGCTGCTTTGGCTTTCTGCCACCAGTGTAGTCAAAGAAGAGATTCATCATTTCACTTGTTTATAATTATTTCACTTGTTTACCAAGAAAGGCCTCACCTGAGCCTCGTGACTCCTTTTCAGGAGGTCCTGCCAGGTTTTTCACCGCAGGGGGCGATGATTTCTCCGTATATATTCCGATGCGGTCTGATTTTGAAAAGCTTAGACCCCGACGCCGGTACGCATCGGCCTACGTTGAACTTCTTTCGCACCATATGTAGCCAACGGTGCTCATCGTCGCGGGATCTTTGACGTCCACAGCGAGCGAAGCACGCGACGCACGGCGTTGTTGTACGGTTGATGCAAACCACGGCAATAACCAGAGGACGGGGCTGCTGGATTGGTGATCCTCTGCAACAAGCGGAGAAAACCCGCTACCACTGAACCACGTCCCTTTATTCCACATTCATAATAGGCAACCAAGTTCATTGTAATGGGTAGGGGAGGGGGATCCAATATATGTTAACTCATTTGTAAAGGGTCCTCAGCCTAAACCATGCGGACAGCCGCAGTTGTAAAGGATTTTGTGTAACATTGGCCACGGAGATTTTCTTCCAGCGTTCACCCAAACGTTAAAGGTGTGTTGCCCCCTCAAAATATGTGAACACAAAATGCATTCCATCATCAGAACCGGAAGCTTATTTCCCACAAAAAAAGCCCCTTGAGCTATAGCTCTTATTCAAGGGCGATTCGACCAGCAATCAAATACCATCACAATATTAGTTCACACTAAGGCTGCAGATTCAATTTACAGGAAAAGCTCTATCCGGCACTTTACCATCCGGAATTCTCCATTCATTGGCGTCTGTCATAGATGGCAACACACAACTTCATCCAGCATCTTGACGTGTGCTTCTCATAGATCTGTTTACGGGAGCTTCAGGACATTGCCGAGTGGTGGTCGCGCGAGCGGTAGCCTGTACATCAAGTTCTGCACCACTGTGTACTGTACATACAGGACTGTACCACTGTACCACTGTGTACTGCACATACAGTACTGCAGCACTGTGTACTGTAAACGGCCCCACTGCTCCTCTCCAATCAACTTAGAATGCTCTACAACTGGCTGGTGAGTATCTCTGCAACAGAGGATATTTCACATTTCATAGTTAAAATGTAGGCTTAGTTTCTTCCTTCAAAAGTTGTGCGTACTTGAAAAGTTTGGTGAACCATAAGCATACGCGAGATGATCGATTATCCAGCGGCTACGGATTTTCATAAACGCCGGATAATCAATAATCATGTTTAAAATAGCTTATTCATGCACATTCTTGTATAACATTAAGTTTTTAGGCATTGTGTATGTGTTTTTGGGGGGGTTTTCGATTAGTTTACGATATAAAATTGGCATAAGTAAAGGTACAACGAGACAAAAATAAATATCCTACTGGAACAAGTTACTGCATTTACTGTACCGTTCTTCACACTCCAATCTCGAAGACTATGCATCATGGGGTGATGTAATATTCATTGTTCTGTGATTTCTCTATACGGCTCACGAACGCAATCGAACACATTATCTTTTGTTTCAACAACAACGACATGGGTTTGGCGATCGCCAGAGTGATGCAGCCTTGAGATCGGTGAACGCTAAATTACACGCACACTTTTCGCCGGATCGCATTGTATATTTTTTGTTTTTCCGAGTTATTAGTTATGAAAAATGTATATATGTGCAGTATTTTCATTGTTTAAGTTGCTGTATGTAGTGTACAATGTACCGTATTCAATAATTGACACTGAAATCAACCATAGCTCCTTTTTTTGTCACGCACACGGTGCCGATCGCTGGACTGGTACAGCCTTTGGAGCGGTTTTACAGCAATCGCCAGGTTACATGCTGGTCTCACCCGATCGGCCCAGGACCGCCGGATAATGTTGTATGCCGGATAATTGCGTGCCGGACAATCGATGATAAACTGTAACCGTCAGATAATCAGCATATTTGATTCACTGGCACCATCCATTCCCCATGGATAACAGAGATGTTCCTGTAGTTGTAAGTGGAGTGAGATGAGAGCAGAAATGAGTCCTGAGAGACCCTCCAAGACGGGGAGTACGAGCTTGATCTTGGGGCTGGATTGGGAGCCAGTACAGTGGAGGGATCGGAGTATCGGGGTGACGTGGGGGTGATGTGGGGGTGACGTGAGGGTGATGTGGGGGTGACGTCAGGGTGATCTCACGGGTCAAGTCTGCCAGTGGCGCTTTCCTGTTGTTTAGGGAACTTGTTAACTTTTTGTGTCACACACACCAACCACACAGGGCTTCTGGAACGGACTGACGAATACCAGACACCAAACACAGCAAGCACCGTTGTGCCTGCCCTGTGTGGACTATGAAAAGGCGTTTGACTGATGTATCTGAGCTCTCAAACACCAAGGCCTAATTAAAATAGATA